CTGTTTGCGGAAGTTGAACGTGTCCGGCCTTTCGTCGATAGTGGGGTGCCGTATCAGGAATACTTCGCGCCGTAGATGGGAGGTGAAGATATTTGATCACTAGCAGTAGTACTAGAGCCATCACGGAGACAAAGCGAAATATATTGGCTGTCTCGACTCCACCAACTTGTTAATCAGTGTTGGAATCGGTCTATCTATTCGTTCTACTAAGGATGACACGGGCACCATGCAGCGCGCGTCCGAATACTGGAAAATACCAGCGTGAATCGATTTTGCCTTCGATAGTTTAGGCTTCTCCTTCACCAGCTTCTTCATTGTTGCCTCCTCGCCGACCGAGGTGATGATGCGCCTGCGATCCACCCTGAGAACTTTCGCCGCTCCGGAATTTCCCACTGGTTAAGCATCCTCGCAAAGGACTCGCGTGAATGCGGCTGTTTTCAGTTAGGATCTCATGGGGTAGCTCCCTTTCTTGCCTCCGGTCCTCTCGTTGACGAAGTCAGGCTCGGGGTATTTGCGCTTTTTGTGGTGTGATGGTGTGGGGTCGTTCGCCGCAAGCATCTCGTCGATGGCCTCTCCTGCTGCCAACGGGTCCGCAGGGGCAGCTACGGCGTCCGCAGAGGAAGGACCGCCACCACTAGCCCCTGAGATCGCGGCACCGCCCGTCCTTGATACCTCCGACATGATTGCCAAGCGATTGTGGGTCGCGAGTACTACTGCCGTTGTAGGCACAACTCGACGGCGGGCAATTACCCATGTTTTCCGCCCGCGGCATTGTGTATTTCGCCGTGTTTTATTTCGCCGCTTTTTGGTGTTTGTGTGTGTGTGTGTGTGTGTGTGTGTGTGTGTGTTCTTTCTCCACAACCTAGCATCCATCGGGCTAGCTACTGTGGTTGGCTGACGTGCGCGCGCGTGTGTACGTTGTGTGTGGAGCCTGCAACCGCAGCACAGCTGAGGTGTCCGTGTGTCTGCTTTCGTTCAAGTAGCGCGCATACCGGAGTCATCGCACAGGGGTGTGCGTCATGTATCAAACCCAATGATTTAATTCAATTTCCGCACAGGGTGTGGCGTCANGTGTATTTCGCCGTGTTTTATTTCGCCGCTTTTTGGTGTTTGTGTGTGTGTGTGTGTGTGTGTGTGTGTGTGTGTTCTTTCTCCACAACCTAGCATCCATCGGGCTAGCTACTGTGGTTGGCTGACGTGCGCGCGCGTGTGTACGTTGTGTGTGGAGCCTGCAACCGCAGCACAGCTGAGGTGTCCGTGCGTCTGCTTTCGTTCAAGTAGCGCGCATACCGGAGTCATCGCACAGGGGTGTGCGTCATGTATCAAACCCAATGATTTAATTCAATTTCCGCACAGGGTGTGGCGTCATCGCACGGTCCGGAGTCATCGCACCCCTGTGCGATGAAAATGAAATGCCGAAAATGTTTAAAAAACGATCGCACGGGGGTGCGCTAACCCGCAACCTTAGGGTACCCCCTCTCGTCGTCTTTACAGGATACCGTGCGTGGCGTGACGTAAGATACCACACGCCCTGGAGCGAATTTCAAAGCTCGATTACTTCACGATGAAGAGGATGTGCGAACCAAACGGTACGCTTTCGGGATTCTCCCGACGAGAATCATCCAAAGCTACTTCAGGTGTACTGTAATAAAGCTTTGAAAATCGTTCTAGGGGGTGTGGTATCTTACGTCACCTACGGTACGTTTTTTTCCATACCAAGAGATGGCCACGACGAATCCAACGTAGCAATTTGCTATCGGACAGCGCTATTGCAAAGTCGTGCGATAGACTTGGATCGATGCACGGCACAAAGGCCAGCGACGCAGAGCAACGCACGTGGTTCGCTGAAGCTACACGTTAGTTTTTCCTCTATCGCTCGGAGTGTGGAGAACAACAGCTCTACCACAAACCCGGTATCCGTAACCAAGACCATCCTTAGCCCCGTCTACGGCAAAACCTCCATGATTATGTCGAAAGCCTCACGAGCCTGCCTCAGCTCTAACCTCACGTGCAATCATTATCCCAGACAAGCAAGAGGGAAGCAGCAGTAGCACAGCAAGAGCAGGGGGACAAGAAGAGCGGAGTTCCATCAGGACAAGGCAACACACACGATTGATCGCGTCGTTTCTTGCTCCAGAAAACGGGGTCGTGCATGCGATGAACGAAACGGCTTGCGTAACAGAATCGGAGCTCGCCTCCTTACAAAATGAAATCGTTCTAAAACAAGGGAACGCAATCACTAGGTAACGAAACCTCAAAGTGGCCACTCTCGTCCACAGTCCAAACGTCTAAGTAACCCACCCGTCATGTCTTCTAGGCACGATGACCCATGAACCACATACTGCGGCTAGCTGGCGGAAGAGACCCGCTTGCTGTGTTCGCTCTCTGATAGCTCAACCGAAACGCCTTACACACACGATTCGACTTGCTTGGAGAATGCAAATGTTCTAGGGGCGGTAAGGCATGGAAAATGTCTGCTCGTTGCAGGCCACAGGGCCACAGGTATGCTAAGGGAGTGTGTATTCACACCAACTGCCCTCGCACAGAGAGCAAGTTGTACGAGGTTTGCATCCGACGCAGAGTCATCACAGAGGATGTTCAGCTGTTACAACTTACAGTAGTTGGTGGCGGCACCATCAGGCAAGAGACAGCGGTACACAAGCAGCTCACGCAAAGATAAAGTAGAAAAAAAAAACACATATCTAGTCGTACGAGCTTTGACACCAAACGAGTCAACACACCAAAAAGTGCGTGGTGCGCGCCAAGAGCAAGCTGGTGGCGGGCGTTTCTGAGGCAAAAAGCTTCAACTTAAGGTCACAAATGGCTCTCACCCATCCGTGGGGTGTCGAAGTCAATCTTGGTGCCGAGAATCTGGCGCTCCTCCCCTACGAAGACGTTGTTGTACGAGAAGCTGTCTAGGTACTGCACGTGGTCCAACACGTCCTGCCGCAGGCCAAGCAGGAGAGCCGAGTCGTCCTCGTCCGATTGTCGCGCGAGCTCAGCGATGACGTTCTGTGATGAAAGTTTTCGTCGGCACACGAAACGATGGGGTGGGAGTGGGACAACGGCAAGTGGGATGTGTCGCAATAGAAGGGCTGGGCTAACGAGAGGGTTGTATTCGCCTACACAGTGCCATGATTACCGCACCTGCGGCATTATCACTGCTACGGCAGCGAAAGGCTGAACTGAAACGTTTCTCTCACCGCCAACTTGGGGAGCAATTCGTGCAGAGCACGCACACACACCACCTTTGCACCACCGCCATGTCCACCGCTACGCCTATGGAGGCGCGGACCGCAGCAATTCAAAACCATACTACACACGGCCTCAAAAAGAAACCGAGGAATGATTTTATCTTTCTCCAGGTTACGGTTCGGAAAGTTAGGTATGTGTGCACCCTGACTAAAGTTAGGACCGTCACCGCCCCCCGGCCGGCAGTGTCAGGTGATGGTGACGTGCCATGATTCTCCATGCGAGTTTTGGGGGGAAACAGGCATCGCTGGCCTCGCGAGAAGTCGTGAAAGGCTCGGGCGTAGCTGACGTTTCGGATTGTGCAGCATGTACCGGAGTAAAGACTTCCGAAAATATCAAAGCAGAACGAATACCGACCCACACTAGTGGTGCCGCTTCGCTGCCTTCCTCATGAACATGGTTCTCTCAAATCCGGCCCCTGCATCTTCCTTTCCAGCGTCCCCCGTGCCCCCTTCCTGTCTAGGGTGTCCGCGGAAGGTCTGACTTCGCTTAGCGTAGGGACCAAACACAATGCAACGAAATACTCCGAAGTAGCTAGACTAGACTATATGTACGCCAGAGGCGCAAATTCCTCCCAACACGGCAGGGGCACAAGGACGGTAAACCAAGTTGTTTGTTTTACCGCTCCAAGACTAACCGAAGTCTTCTCGTTCTCTACTGACACTATCTATACATCGTACAATACGAATTGTACCTTGACGTCCGCCAACGGAGAGGTTTTGATGATATTCCTGATCGTGTCCCACTTGGCGTCCTCAATCATCTGATCTACCGGATCCAGCTGTGTCCTCGCTTCGCGCAGCAGCCTAACCTACAAAGAAATTGGCATTGCCGCCCGCAGACGGGGGAGCTGTCGGCAGAAAACATGCCACAATCAAGACAGGGCATGCCAAGGAATTGCCCAATTTCTACGTATCGCGAACCCTTTACATTACTTCGCCACTTGACCAGTCCGGACGCGAAGCCAGTTGAAAGAGACCACGCCGCCTACCGAATCAGTTACAGGGAAGGAGTGTCACTGGCTGTTGTGCCCAACCGAACCACAGAGTTCGACACAAAGAGAGCCACCGTATCCGAGGATCAGAGAGTTATTGTTCGAGATCGGAAGGAAACCGATGCTGCTTGCTGCATCCAGCAATGACAGCACACCTTCCTGCAGGTGCTTACCCGAGCTTGCGTGAGGTGCGATACGATTGCTTCAACTGCTAATAGTCTAATGTATGCACATGCACACTCTAGTTGCACATGATCTCATGACATGTTCGGGGTTGGGTAGACAAGGTTCACCAGGTCTTCCTTGCTCGTGACGGCCGCAGCACAAGACGTGACCTTCAGGGCCAGCGTTCCAGCGATGGTAGCACCCACAGCCCTTGCAGCATCTGCCCTTGTCATGCCCCGACAACCGCAGCTGTTCGATGCTGCGGGGGAGGCACTGATCATGTGCTTTGTTGCCGAAGCGGGTGGGTTGGTGGGAGCCCCCGTGGTACCCATACGCAAACTCACCGGGACAAAGGCCTGGACTGCATGGTAAGCAGCGCACACGAGCAACAAAACATCGCGCTTGTAAAACAGGAGCCTCATGGTAGTGCTATGCAGTGATCGATCTCCGTGCGGCTTTCCATGTCTTGTTTGCCCGCTCCGGAAACTTTCTCCGGAGATGGGGCTCCGTGGAATAAAAACGCCCCACTGCCAGCCTCCAGCGGTGTGTGTGTCTGTGTTTTGGCTTGCGTCTACCCACTTCTTGGCGGAGGCCATGCCCACATTAGAAATAGGAGGAACGTCTGTGGCTTTCCCGTTCAACCCATACGACTGCCAGCTGGAGTATATTGGTGGCGTGCTTGAAGCTCTCAATGGTTCGGTACGTTCCTCGTGCTGTTTTTTTTTTCAAAAAAAATAAATTGGTGTGCGGATTTGTCGACTGCCGTAGGTTGCGCAAGATATCACACCTCCGGGGCCGACTACTGTCGAAGCTCCATTACTCTGCAGCAGAAGGAGAGAAGGTGCCGAAAATGGCGGCATTGGATCTGACTGATCGAGAACTTTCCGAGAACGAGTCATTTGCGTTTGGCTACCTCTTCTTGGGTGGAGTACAAGTAATCGAGCTTCCGCGGGGTGTGGAATATTATGCAACCCATGTGCGTACTGCCTCCTCCGTTTCTTGCCAGTAGAGCGTGTACTGCAGTGCCAGCCCATGAGGTAAGAAACACCTATCTTGAGAGAAGCTGAAGCCTTAGTTTGTCCACTGAGCAAAGGCCTCTTTGCATGCAGGAATCAATGGAGCGCCGGCCGCTTCGCAAAAAGCATTTTAAATCTGAACCTCGGTTTCTGACTAACATATTTACCTTTCAACGATCGTAACTCTCTCCACCAGTAGTAGTGGAGCAAGCCCACCATTGGCCACACCAGCAGAACGGGAATATCCATTCATCGGCTGCACATAGAATCAGCAATCGTTCGAACAGCAGTCGCCTACGCGTTTCGCGCTGCCTGGTCATAATATCGCGACACCGCAGCGTAAGGTGCGTGCCCACGATTCTTTCAAGTTGTAGACACAGCGCGTCGTGTTGCACACCCTTTGGATATAAAAGGCAGACATGACTCGCGAGGTGTACAAGTATGTGCAGAGGATGTGGCCCCAGTGTAAGGCCGAGTTCTGTCATGGGATTGTGACCGGCATTCCACTGGGGTGCTGACGGCCAGTACTGGCCTAAGTTTTACAGTACTTGGAAGTATGCGTACTTCAGATTAGAATCAGAAGTTTCCTTGCCCTGGCTGACAATATTCATGATGCTTGGCTAGGTATATACCCTCCGGCCCCTTGGATGTATCGCTTGCCCCGTTCCTTACCCTGGCTGACGAAAGGCATGATGCTTGGCGAAGTATATGCTCTCCGGCCCCTTGAATGTATCGCTCGCCCCAACCAATCCCGCCTGACCCCGCTACTCGTTCTTCTTGTCTTGTTCGGCATGTTCATTGTTGTCTTCATGCCGTTCGTCTCACCCTTATTGCTTTCGTCTGGTTCCTCTCGACTTACTCTTATCGCTTCATTCATGTCGTCTTATTCCTCTTGTTCAATTCATCATGTCGTCTTATCCCTCTTGTTCGATTCATCATGTCGTCTTATTCCTCTTGTTCAATTCATCATGTCGTCTTATTCCTCTTGTTCGATCCATCATGTAGTCTTATTCCTCTTGTTCGATTCATCATGTCGTCTTATCCCTCTTGTCCGATTCATCATGTCGTCTTATCCCCCTTGTGCGATTCATCATGTCGTCTTATTCCTCTTGTTTAGTTCATTCGTGTCGTCTTATTCCTCTTGTTCAGTTCATCATGTCGTCTTATCCCTCTTGTTCGATTCATCGTCGCCCTTTCGTCTCCTTCCTTTGGCGTTATCCCTCTCTTATTTCAATGTTGTTCCCATCTCATTCACTTCGTCGTATTCCTTTCGCCTAACTCCATCGAGCAGAAGAATGCCCTCCTGGAAAGCCCGACCGGTACCGGCAAGACGCTATGCCTACTCACGGCCTCTCTCGCTTGGCAACAACGGAATTCGGCCATGGTAGCCTCCAAGGTAGAAACAACGACCATGTTCTCGAAGCGAGAAAAAGAAACAGCCTGTACCACAGGGCCTAAAACGAAGCAGCGTTGGTGTGCAGTATAAACCGTTCAGAGCAAACGGGTGAGCATTTTGTACCTAGGATTCGCTTGGTAAAGACAAGTATGAACACCCCCGTTTTGTGGTACAGTACAAGAAACTGTTTCGTGCCAGATCCCCGTACGCAGGGTGTAGATATGGCTCATATCCTCGACAAGGCGAAGGCATGTCGACACACATGTACTACCTGCATTGACTATGCATAATACTGCTCCACTCCGTGGTTTAATTGCTCTGTCCTTTTCCATCCCAGCGCTTGGCAGTTTCACTCATCCCCTTCTGAGGGTGCTTGTCGTGGACCCCCCCCCCCCCTCGCACGCCAAGGACGGGGTCTAACCCAGCAAGCATTAAGGAAGGGCGCCGCTCGACTGTTGGAATTGACGTTCTCCCTATTAGGAGTAGGAAAGTCAGTGAGTGAGAGTGAGGTAATATGCCTCCAAGGGTCGAGTGATCATATGTTATCATCCACGGCGAGGACCAAACCGTTGCACGCCTCCCCCGTCCCACGCACGCAGCCTGCCCCTACACAGCTTGCGTACGACGAGCGACCGGTCACCGACCTGTCCCGCCCGCGACACGAGCAACAGCCGTACCAGGAGAACAAGCCTACCACAGCCGCGGCCATGCCCTCCGTCATCATCTACGCCTCGCGCACCCACAGCCAGCTAGGCCAGGTGCGCTGGGCCTGGGGTGGTGGTTGTTTTGTGTTGGCATCGGCGCTGGTGGTGCGAGTGTTGTAAAACCGGGTAGTTGCGGTGTGTTTGGGGGGCACCGTGGGCGGACAGGGTACCACCCACGCCCCGTTCATTGGGTAGGTTTTCGCAGTCCGATGTATGGTTGTGGAACTCCTTGCCGACCCCAAGGTGCAGAAAGTAGAACGCAAGGGTGTATACAGCTGCAAGAACAACCAGGCCGAGAGCTTGGGAAAAAGAAACGGTAAAGGAGGAGTTCGTTCCGGTGACCCCCACACTTGAGTCACACGGGGCAATAACCGGCACCGAATGAAACACCACGAAAATCGGAAGCACAAAACGAAAGGGTTCACATGGTATTTATGCGATTGTATATTTTCTTCAACGCAACAATAAAACTTTAAACGAAAGGATGGGATTTCTGTGAACATAGGCTTATTTTCTCCAACCCAACAGAACCAACACCCCTTAAAACCGAAAGGGTGGTAATTTCTGTGATTGTGCGTATGCTTTCTACAACGCAAAACCAACCCCCTTTCTCGAAAAATCCAAAAAGGTGGCGAGCGAGCTGAAGAACACGGTGTACCGCCCGAGGCTCTCCCTCCTGGGCTCTCGCGACCAGCTCTGTGTCCACGAGGAGGTTTCCCAGATGAAGGGAGGCGCCAAGAACCACGCCTGCTCGGCCCTCGTCAAGGCCAGGCGTTGCAAGTACCACCGCGGGACGGAGGACATGGTGGAGCGGGCGGGGGGGGGGCTGTCTCTTATACACATCTAGATGTGNCAGAGCACGGTGAGGTTGGCTTCTGAGTCTGGGGTCTTTTTTGGGGGGGGGGGCGTCCGAAGTGGTGTGGCGTTGGTGCTGCTGTCTGCACTGTGCTACGCTCATGAAATGGACAGGATCACGCACGCAAACACATATGGCGCCCCCTCACCGAGGTCCTTAGATCATGGCCTTTAGAAGCATTTTGTGTTTTCAACCGCACAGAGACTGGCGGCTTGTCAGTGATGAGCATGTTAGCGCGGTCGATGCTAACAACAAAAACGCACACATGCACGCTTCTTTTCTGCTGTTGGAGCTAGCTCACTGATACCAGCCCTCCCTTCATCGTCCCCCCCCCCCCCCCCCCCCCCCCCCCCCCCCCCCCCCCCCCCCCCCCCCCCCCCCCCCCCCCCCCCCCCCCCCCCCCCCCCCCCCCCCCCC